GTAAAGGGGAGGAGGAGGCGGAGCGCCGGGATTGGCACTCTCTTGACTGCTTGGTTGTTTCCACCACCACCCCCATCCTCCTTGCTCTTTGTAAAACTGATTGGCGCAAGAGCCAATCGCAGGTGGGCTTGTCTGCTAACAAAAGAAAGGCCGGCCCAATGCAGAGGGAAGGGAGGGCTTTTTTCGCGTGGGATGAGAAATTGGAGGGTGTTGTGGTTTTTTTTAATTGGTTCAGGCTTGGTTGACCTGCGCGCCTGGCAGAGCATCTATGGAGGGAAGCAGTTGCGCTGCAGCTAGCTGGCTACCCATGCGTTTATTTCTGCTTGCTAAGCTGGAAAGGCTCTCCTGGATTTTATAAAAACCAGCGTGGGGGGGTTCGGGGTCGGAGGCAGGCGCCGGTGGCCAAACGCGCCGCCCTCCCCAGGCGGCCGCGCGCCTTTCCTCGCCCCTTTTTGGCGCAAACCCCATTGCCCCAAAGAGGCTTTCTACGCGCAGTTAAAATTTGCACACCCAGCAAACAAACGCTGGCTGGTGGGAGGGAGTGAAGCACGACACTGTTCAGAAATAGAGGAGTTTCGTATCTCCTTAACCCCTTCCTGGAAAAGGAAAAATACTAGGGGTTGGAGGAGAACGCCTTGCATAGAAAAATCAAGAAACCTATTAAGGCACCGGAAGGCGGAAAGGCTTCCACTCGTTGCAGGAAGTGGATCTTTCATAAATGGGTTTGCCCGCAAGCGTCCTTGGCTAAAATAATCTCTCCTACCCTTCCAGGTGTTGGGCAGGTAAGAGGAAGACGTGTCGGAGGAGAAACCCGAGGTTTCAGGCCCTCTTTTCTAAGAATCTTTGTCCCAGGACTTGGCTTCACTCCCATCAGCTGGAGAAAGCAAGGGCCCCCCCAGTCAGTTACTTGTTCTAGGTCATGACTTTCTTCCATGAACAGGACTCAAGGTGGATTAAGTGTTAAAAGAGGGAGAAATGCCGTTCAAAGATAAAAAGGATAAAAACATAAAAGGTCTAAATGTGCAATGTAAATATACATCTGGGAAAAAAAATACAAGTACCCAAGATTTATGAAACGCCATCCTTAAAGTCTGCAATGTTATACAAGGTGAACACTTAAGTGTGGTAGCACTAAACAGGGCTTACTACTGAGTAGAAAGGTCTAGGACTGCATTGTTGAGAAAATATCTGGGTCATTGCATCTGGTAGGATTATAGCCTACTAAGGTTTATTCTTATTCTTAAAATGCTGTGCTTCCTGCGGTGTGGAAAATATTTGGGTGCACTGGTTGTTCGTGGGTATGATTCTTTTCATTTCAAGCAGAGAATTAAGCAAGAAGTGAAACTACTAATACTGTACTTTCAATAATGTGCTTCCATGCTCACTCCGAATTAAATCGCTCCAAGATAAAATTTTGGAGTATAAGGTTACTTTATGTGGTCATGGTTGGTTTGTCTACCTTCAGTGGCAGCTTTTCCCAACATTGAGCTACAGACCCCATCCTTGGGTCGCCAGAGGTTCCTGGACTACAACTCTGACATCTTCCCCACGCGCTGTGTCGGCCAGGGTTTCTGAGAGTTGCAGTCCAAGAGCCTCTGGGGAGCCAAGGCTGGGAACCACTGTTCTAAATGGTTGAGATCAGGAGACATGGATTTGTGCCCTCTTGGTCCTCCATTTCTTCCATGGCTCCACTCCATTCACCATCTTCTAAGGATAGTGGCCCTGGCAGAATGCCAGAATTTGGACAAGGTTGCAACCTGAAATGATGCTCCCTTTGCCCAGTAACTGGTCTTGGCTCATTAACCGCTCAGGCTTCTCAGCCTTAAAAGTCCAAGGTGCCTTACAGTAGGAAGTAAACCAGAGGCCACTAAAAAAAGAAAAAAAAAAGAAAAAAATGCAACTGGGATGGCCACACCCTGCCCTGTGTTTGCTCTTCACCATTATAATCCCCTCCTACCTCTTAACATTATAAACTCCTCAGCCTGGAGCCTTTTGTTTGCTTACTGGATTCTTTTAAGGTTGTGGCAAAACACCAAGTTCCACCCAATGTTTAATTTTTCAAAGAATACATAATTCTCTCTCTTACACACACAAAGTAGCTTTTCTCCTGGAGGGCTGTACCCATAAATCCAGGTCTATGTGGGCTAGTGGTGTTTATTCAGTAGAGAAACGGGATGACACTTGGTGCAGTACCAGAGGTGGGGTTTTTCTTTTCTTTTTTTCATTTATAACCTCTAACGTTTTACAGATTATATGACTGTGCAAAGAGTGAGTAAAATGTAACCCTCCAGATGCTGAACTGCACAGGACTAACCCAAAGAGTAGCAGACTAACATCTGGATGCCCTGCCTTTCTAAACACCATTTCATTCTCTCCATCTCTTCCAGTTTCACACTTTAAGATACAGTATTCACTACTGGCTATCTGCTACATTCTCACATTCAGCAATAATGTATCATTTCCTAATTTGAAAGCCAAGGTGATGGTTTGTTATGAAGATGGGGGCGGGGAAGACCCAACAATGTGGACTAAGTGGCTTACAATGTGGCAAAGTGAGTACAGCATGACTAAAATAACATTTTAAAACAATGAAGTTCAATATAAACACATTCCCAGAGCTGCTTTGACTTCGGGACATAAACACATAAATTAGAAGGGTTTAGAGAAGACAGGGTGAAAAGTTGGACTGGTTCATCTTGAGAAAGCCAGAAGCGATAGATGGATATGATCTTGCCATAACTAGGGAACTGGCATGACTAAGTAGACGACTGTACAGTAATTGTCTTTCAGGCATTGCCATAACTAGGGAACTGGCATGACTAACTAGACTGCAATTGTCTTTCAGGCGACGTGAAAATATACCTGTTGTTAGTCTAATGTGTTCTTATGGCTCTTGACAAGCCAGGGAAGCTTTGCTTGGAGAAGACCATAATCCACAGACAATAATACTGTATGTCCAGTTCCCCGTCTTGTTTCTTTAGTTGGGCTTCTAGTGGACACAACCGGAGGCGTCAGTACCGATGGGTACAGGACCAGGTGCCAATATGGTCTTTATTTCAGTGCTGCTGTTCACACGGGCGTTCAACGCATGGGGAAATCGAGGACTGGTTTCCAGTCCTTCCGTTCAGTTCCACTTTCGTTCTACTCAAGCTGTTAAACGGTTTCCAAGCACACAGGATTCTTTTCCACACCTTCCGGGACATCCCTTGTATTCCCTGGGGGGGGGGGTCTCATCCAGGTACTAACCAAGCTTAACATGGCTTAGTTTCCAAACAACAGAGAAGAGCGAGCATGTTCCTCAAGGTGGGATGATGAGATGAAGTCTGAGCAAGCTGTGTTTCGACAGACTGCAGGGGTGGAAAGAGAGCTCAAGGGAAGCAGCTTTGGGTTTCCGGGTCACAGGCCTTGGCCTGAGCTGGTTCCATGGAGTCGTAGCCCAGCAAAGAATCAAGCTCTGGCTGGTCAACGTCAGACTACTGAGGCTAGTACTGTCTTTTTATTGACATTTATACGTGAACCCAAGGCAGTACATTCAGTTCTCCTTTTCTTCCTCCTCCTCCTCCTCCTCCTCCTCCTTGCATCCTCACCAATAAGATGGCCATGTGCAGGGTACTGAAGTCCCCAGATATTGAGAGACATGCAGGGCCTTGGTGAGCGTGGCGCTCTTGAGCTTCCCTATTGTTACCGGCGTCCTCTCTGGGGTGAGGTCAGCTCTCCAAGTGGTTTAGAGTGACCGTAAAGGAATGGGTCTCATAGTTCCTTCATGTGATGCAGGAAGGCACCTTAACTATCTTCATTCCCTGTCTGCTGGTGCAGATGATGATGATAGAACTGCACAGCTGGAAGGGACCCTAGATGTCAAGTCTTGCTGGAGTGCATGAAATCGGGTAGGTTGGGAGAAGGTCTGGAATATGTCTTCTTTCCACAAAAACTCCCCTGGGATTTGTCTCAGTCTGGTGCATTTTGGAACTACCCAGCTTCATTGGGCTTGTCACAACGTCATTGTGAGGACAAAAATTGAAGCTGTTGGAAAAGTCTCTTGTTGTCTTCTCTCCACCCCTTCTTGATGCATCTGCTCAGTCCAATCCAACACATGAAAGACTTCAGTCATACGCCTAAGAGCAATGACCTAAGGGGAGATGACACCTGATGGCATTAACAAGACGGCTAAGCTAGACAGGAAGAAGAGGAGCACAACTGTCTGCAAGGAGACACCGACTGGCTTCTTACTCCATCCTGGCAGAAGGTGGTTGCTCTCTATCTTGCAGATGCATCTCGTTAAAGCCGCCACTGCCCTACTTGTTTGATGTGGAGCCCAGATCAGCTCTGGCTGGCCAGCCAGCCAACCTGTCTCCATATTGTCATAACGTTGATAAATAAATATGAATAGAATTGTGGTTTGTTTACAGCTCAGAAGGAGCTCTGTTGCATCAAAAGTGGCTTTGATCACCTCCACACAGTCTTTACCACCAGCGCCTGGTTCGGAGACGCAAAGTTTAATCTCCTGCACTGAAAGACAAATGAATCCACAGAAGAGTGAGACTCCTCCTTCCTCCAGTTCCAGAGACTGGAGCCAACATTTCTGCCAAAGACGGAAGCAAAGGCTGACTTCCGAAAGAAAAGAAGAAGCCAACGAGGAGAAGCGCCAAAAGCGAGGGATGGCAGGGCTGGGCAGGGGGTGCCTTTTGTTCTTCTGGACGCATTTTGACAATCCATGAAGTTACACAGGGAGGCAGGTGAACTCTTATAGCACTGAAATTAAACTTCTCATCAGTCAGGCAAGATATATTCTTGATGGTTGCTTGG